TTGCATGAAGAAGGACCCAGATCCTATCAAAGGCGAAGAATACTAACGGAGACATACAAGCGGGAACACTGCCGGGGGCTGCACCGATAGAAATCCAGCGCGTCAACGATTTTCCGTGCGCTTTAACAATTGAAGCGTTCGCGGTGTGCAGAAAGTATGGGGCTGGAGAGGACTAGCCACCGTTATTGTACCTTTTGCGGCTACTCCCAACAACCGTGCCGCGCTAAAGTGTCGGTGTGGTAAACAAACGCCAGCACGCTTTTGACACGTCGACAACGCACGCACTAGCCATCCCAACCACCTCTCGTCCAACCCCCCACCGGGTGCCGCCTCGGCTCTCGATGAATTTCAGATGATGGGATCCCTGAACTTGATTTCTACCCAGTCCACCATTGTTCATTCACGACCTTGAGTTACACCTGTTTGTAAGAATTGTTGCACAGAGCGACAAGAAGGTCCGACATGACTACTACTATGCACCACCCCTCACCGCAGCCGGGCCTTACCTCATTCGCCATCTACGAAGACCCACAGGATCGCGAACCCATGTCACCCTCGGAACTCTTCGAGGGCAGTGACTCGTACCACTCCGAACGCTCGTTCCCAATGGCCCACGACCTTGTACATAGCATTGAGCTGCAGCAACAGGAGCCCGACGACGAACCACAGCCCTACCGCAGCTCATACACATCACGCCCCGGATCACAACAACGAATGATGTCAAATTACAGCTTCGTCTCGGCTATTCCGTCAGAATCCTCGATAGCTTCCAAGCCTGCCTTGCCTGCCAACGAAGCTGGTGCGCGAGCCCGAAAGGAACGCCCGCGCTTCCGGAACACAGAGTCTGTTCGCGCTATGCAGATGTCGTCGCCTCCACCAATGCTCGCACATCAAACCTCACAGGAACGGTTGAAGGGATCCTTCAAGCTGGCTACACCCAGCAGAAGCGGAAGGTCCGAATCCGATGTAACAAGACAGTCTACTGGGTCACGGAGAAGGAGCATACGGGAGCCTCACAGTCCGAGACCCACCCCCACACCGCAACAGGCACCGCTTGTCTTGTTGCATGTCACCATTCTGCCCATGCAGGTACCATACTCGCACGACATCATGGCTAGGATCATGCCGGATTGGCTAGTGGAAAACTACAAGCTGTTGGAGGAGAAGCTACAGGATATTATTCTGATGCGACGTGGGCTTCTCATCCCGCATCCTCGGGATGAATACGACCTGCTTGAGGAACGCATCCTGGAGAGCTTGGAGCTGAAGACACCCCGACTGCTTCCGTGCGGTCACTTTGTACCACCTGAGGACGAGGACGACCGGGAAGACGAAGACGATGTCGCCAGCGTCGGCGATGAGAACACTGGCCGGGGCAGTCGTATGAGTGGAGGCACCTTGACCGAAGGAAGCAACACTTCGGCCAACGGTGACCACAGCATGTGCATAGACTGCCACCGTGAACTCAAGAAGCCTGGCAAGGGTATCGGTGCAGGTACACGGAAATGGGACATCAAGATCTACGCCGCCAACGGTCTGATGCGATCTGCCGCATGGCAAGCATGCTGGAATGACATGGAGAGATGCGATGTCGAGATACACCCCTGGATCCCCGAAGAAGTCCGCAAGACCCTAGAGCGCCGGGCTCAAGAAGAGCAAGAAGCAGACAAGCGCAAGCAGCTATACACCGTGGAACTCCAACGTCAAATTCAAGAAGCCGCAGCCAAAACAAAGATTCTGGAAGAGGAAGCCAACGAAAAGAAGCGTAAAGAAGAAGCCGAACTACAAAAATCCTTCGAGGAGGCCGCCGCTGCTCTACAAAAAAGTATCGAGGAGAAGGCGGCCGAAAAGAAGAAGTTTGAAGAAGATCTTCAGGCCAAACTCAACGAAGCGAAAGAAGCTGTCCGTCTCGAGCTCGAAGCTAAAGCAATCGCCGAATCTGACGCAGTAGCCCAACGCCTCCGCGCCCTTGAGTCTGCTATCAAGGAACAAGAGAAGGCTGAGGCTGAAGCCTCTCACCGCCTTCGATCGGATCAGATTCCTCTAAGCACGCTGATGAAGAACTATGTCATCCTTCTTCTGAGCGACAAGCGCAATTTCGTTATTCTGCTGTTGGCTGTCGCTGTCGCATATCTCGCGATGGGTATGCGGGCTGCTCAACAACAATCACCATTGTCGTCGCAGATGCTCGAGCTACCTACCGAGGTTGCTGCCCAGATGCCGAATCCTGTTACGGCAACTATGACTGCTACGGCTTACTCTACTTTCACAGTCACTGAGTTCCAGACGCCTACTGCTATTCCGGTTCTTGCTGCTGCGGACCCGGAAATTGAAGTTGCTGAGGCTGAGGCCGAGATTGAACCTGAGGCTGAGGCTGAGGTCATTCTTAACGAGGTGGCGGTTGAGGAAGTGTCTACCAGCTCTGTAGCAGAGCTTCCTCTCGCGGAAGAGTCTGCTCCCACCACCATGGAAGACAACATCGTCGTCGACCAAACACCAACCGAAGCTTCCTCCTGCGCTCTGGAGGCAGTCTTCCCAGCCTCGCTTGCCTTTTGCGCCGCATCGGCTTAGCGACGGCCATTCATGCTTTCCTTTCTTTCCAATTTATCACGCATACACTCACGGCCTCAAGCATCCACATTCACCTACCATATCATGTTTCATGTTCATGACGTTATGTAGCGCATTTCGACGAAGATATCCCCCTCGTTTTACTGTTGTAACGGCTTTCTTAATCTTCTTTTCACGGCATTATTCAGGCATAGCGGGCATGGTGTTGAAACCCTGGATCTGGGAATTGCATGGTTGCAGACAGTTCTATACCAATGAAGATCTGATATCATTACAATGTTTGCTCTCGTTCATCTGTGTCATGACAGAAAAGTGTGCTTAGACTCCGAGACAAGTTTTGTGGGCGCTTCCCTGAGTATCTGTAACCATGATCAGTAGATGTGTACCATGGAGGTGAACAGAGTAAGCTGGAAGATAACTCGGTATTACGGATACTCTGGTAGTTGAGTAGACAGATCTTCATCATCATCAGATTTGTGTCCAACAGATTGTCCCATGCAACATCATTATACACAAACCCATTCCTCGTCTCTCCCGATCATACACTATGGCCGCACTCCAACAGCTCAATCCTCAGCGATGCCTTGCTTCCTCAGCTCCTCTCTCCTCTTGCTGCTCCTGCCCTTGGCTTCCTCAACCCACGACTCATACTCGCCTTCACCCGCGTCCAACTTCGCCCTCACAACGCCTTTCAGCAACTCTCCCACAAATCCTACGAAATTATGCCTCCTCAACGAGTTCTCCCACAGCCACTTGGCGCGCTTGTCCTCCTGCTCTTCGAGTTCGTCCTCGTCGCCGATTTCGCGTGCGCGGATACGCAGGTCGCGACAGCAAGCCATGAGGTTGAAGCGGATTTCTGTGGCGGGATAACGGGCAATGCGGCGTTGGAGGACAGGAATTATTTTGCTGGGGAATTCTGTAGGTGTGCAGGCGCCGTGGAGGATAGGGGCTGGTTGGAGGCCGTCAAGTTCGTAGAGTTTGCCGTTTATACTTGTGTAACTGTTTGTTCGTCCTATTAGCTCAACTCTTATAGCTGCCCAGGGTACCAAGGGTGGGCTTACGCGATGAAGTGGAAGACGTCGTCATCCTCGGTGGCCGTTCGCTGTGTTTCGTCGACAAAGGGTGAAGATCGCGCAAACGAGTTGTGGGTTTCGCGGATGAGGTCCGAGTTTGAGAGTGTTTCTCCACGTAGCTGTTCTCCTTATCAGCTACTTCATCTTGGTGCTTCGCTGACTTGACGCACCTCTGGTGGAAAGTCACCAGCGAATTCCTTGAACTCCTTCAGCTCCTTGCCGATTTCGACCTCCTCTTCTCGATTCAGCAAAAGCGAGACTATTGCCTGTGTACCGCATGCGTTTTGTATTGTTTGCGCGGGGAAGAAGAGGGTGTTTGCCGCCTCATGGTCGTAGGTGCCATCTTTCGGTACGTCGCTGGGTTTCTCGCCCGTGGGGTATTTGAACAGAAAGATCACGCCGTAAAGGGTACCGAGGGCTTGTAGGGCCGTAGCGTCGAGAGAGGTGAGTTCTTCGAACTCGACGCCCTTAACACCGAGCTTCTCGATGAGGTATGTAAACACACCCTAGGATAGTCAGCAAGCTATTCTCTCAAAGAACTTGTACACTCACAGCATCAGACTCGATAGTATTCCAGCCTCCCGACATAGTTGCGCGTAGAGGTAGAGCGGTGTGGTTTGCTATGAGTTGTCGCTGCGTTGAACCTACGCCATCGAAGGCGCCGCCGGAACAACTGCTCGGCCCGCGATTCGGAACGGTTCCGATGCCCCACCATGATGAGTGAACAAGGTCTTCCCATGTCTTGACATATCTTACCCCTCTAACTGGTAGCATTCAGATGCATCTTCTCGTATTACCAAGAAGTCTCGGCATACTCAGATCTGGCCGCGACTCTCTATCAACATGTCAACTTTTGAGCATCTATCACCATAGTCAATTATCCAAGGTTGCGACTGCCCAGGCAGTCAACTCACAGCTCATTCGTAGCATCTGAACATGACCTGCAATGCTACCTGTTCACTACTTCTCGCTGCAGCGCATTTATTGCAGCAAAGTCCTCTACGTCCTCTCGGTACGGCTAAGTTTCCAGTTCATCAGTCATTTCTTCAAAAGCACGTTCGTCTTGATCGCCTACTATGAGGTCACGCTGCCACCTCATTCTCTCTTGTAGGCGAAAATGTCCCTCTCAATCGACAAGCCCATATCTTTCACTACCTTTCTATTGGTAGATATTGCAATTAGTGTGCATCGTGGGTGGATCTATGGTTGACCCTGGTCTGTTCCCGAGCACGCAATGAAGTTCCAACTTCGCGCGATGGGCGTGGGTCACTCAAGCCATGACGATGTTGGAGTGTATACAAAACCAGAGTCTTCTTGGCCTTGTGAGTCTTGAGAACTCAAACTTCATCTGTAACCATGATCAAGAGTCAAGTTTTACTATTTCTGTCCTTGGGGCTAACTGCTGTTACGGGCCGTTCTGCTAAGCCCAACTTTATCTTCATCATTACTGATGATCAGGACTTGCATCTAAATTCTATCGACTACCAGCCTTCGGTACAGAAGCATTTTGCCCAAGAAGGTACCTGGTTCAAGAAGCACTTTTGTACTGTGGCATTGTGCTGTCCATCGCGGGTGTCCCTCTTAACAGGAAAAGCTGCCCATAACACAAATGTCACGGACGTCTCTGCTCCTTATGGTAAGTTAGACATAAGTGTACCGCTTTATGAACAAACTCTAACTACAAAAAGGGGGATATCCTAGGTTTATCGAGGAAGGGTTCAATGATCACTACCTTCCGGTATGGCTTCAAGAGGCGGGATACAACACCTATTACACTGGCAAGCTTATGAATGGTCATTCTATCACCACATATGATGCACCACGAGCCAGTGGTTGGAATGGATCCGACTGTAAGCTGTTCGAAATGGCAAGGGTATCTTCCCATTACTGACACAGCTAGTCTTGATTGATCCAGGAACATACGTCTTCTATAACTCCACTATGACTCGTAACCATGACCCCTACAAAAATCTACCAGGAGAGTATTCGACCGACCTAGTAGCCAATGCTGCAGTTGGTTTCTTGGAAGAAGCTATTGCCGCATCTGATCGACCGTTCTTCATCGGTGTAGCGCCTATAGCTCCTCATTCAGAGACAGTCACCAACCCACGGCCTGCCAAGTTCAACCCACCAGTTCCTGCAAAGAGACATGAGCATCTCTTTCAGAACGTCACGATACCTCGAACACCCAACTTCAATCCAGACAAAGTAAGTTACTTCCACCAGCTCATTTCATTCGTCATCTCACATTTACGTTCCAGCCAGGAACAGCATCCTACTTCAAGACCCTCCGCCAACTCAACCAATCCGAGATAGACTACAACGATGATTGGTACCGAAAGCGTCTACAATCTCTGCAATCGGTGGACGAGCTCATCGATTCCATCGTTGCACGTCTGGAGGCAACCCCAGAGGTTCTTGAAAATACTTACTTGATTTACACAACAGACAACGGCTTCCACATCTCTCAGCACCGCCTCCCGCCTGGAAAAAGCTGCGGCATTGAGGAAGATGTCAACATACCCTTCTTCATCCGCGGTCCTGGTATCGCAAAAGGCGCTGTCCAAACTATTCCTTCTAGCCACACTGATATCGTCCCTACGCTATTTCATCTAGCTGGTATACCTTTGCGAGAAGACTTCGACGGGGAACCTATTCCTGTCACTGAAGAGCTGCTTGCGCGGAACGAGAAAAGCGAACATATCAACATTGAATTCTGGGGTAATTACCTAGTTGAAGGAAATACCTTCTTCGGGCAGAGCTCTTTGTTGAACAATACGTATAAGACTGTAAGGGTGGTGGGAGAGGAGTACGACTTGGCGTATACTGTGTGGTGCACTAATGAACATGAACTATACGATATGACGGTATGTACCATCTTTCTGCTACCCTTTATCCTTCACGGCCAAATTGAGCAGTGACTAACGACATGCCAGAACGATCCTTATCAGCTCGAAAATCTTTACAACACGAACAGCACAGCCATAAACGGGTGGTCTATAAATAAGGTCACGTCGAGACTCAATGCTTTGTTGCTTACGCTCAAGCGTTGCAAGGGCCGTGTTTGTACGAGGCCCTGGGAGAAATTACATCCAGGAGGTGATGTGAAGAGCTTGGGCGATGCAATGGAGGGGAGGTACGATGTCTTTTATCTGGAGAAGCAGCATCAGGTCACTTTTGAAGAGTGTGCCTTAGGTCAGGTGTTGAGTTTTGAGGGGGCTCTAGAGCCGGTAATCTGGCAGGAGGAGTGGGATGCTTGGAGCTGGGCTACTTGAACAAGAGAGTCAGTGCTATAGTCTTGGGAGGCAGCTCTCCAAGTGCCTCACTTGCAAAGAAGGAAGGAAAGAAAGAAAGAAAATGAAGCTCCCCCTGAGAAACGAAAGACAGGAAGCATTTGCGTATCATCGGCGATGCCGAGAAATGGCCTGTGTGATGTCAATCATCAGTTTCTCCATAGAGTCAAAAGAAGTATAGCACATATCGCCAGACTTGCTCCACATTCCGACATCATCGCCCAACCCAATCTATATCGGTTCGTCTATGTAGCGGTATCAGAGTACCCGAGTGAACTTATTTCGATAGAAACATCGGAGATACATCCACTGCATGTACATGACACGCCACAATACCGTCACCATCATCCCACGCTCCCCCAATGAACACTCCAGGATCCCCAACCGCACCAGCCTCGTATCTCGGGATAAAAAAACGCCCATGCCCACCTGTACACACTACTGTACTTCAGCCTCGTATACACGGCACGTCCCATTAGCGTGACTGCCACGACGGTAAACGAGTGCGGTGCGAGTAGTAAGGGCGTCGGTTGGAACTACCGCATCACCAGCCACGACGGTCTTCGTTCGCTCTCTTTCTCGGTCTTACATCCACGCATGCATCCACGCAATCCACATTTTCCCACTATTTCCAATGCTTATCTTTGTTGGATGTTCGATGTACGAACGGATCTTAGCTTTCACGTTCTGCATGAGCGAAAAAAAATCTCTGGGACGATCTTTCAGACTATGTTTCACATCTAGGAAGCCACGCGTTGCAGAGGATCGTAACTTCGTGCCTTCGCTCCTTCGCTCATTTGTCGATCTTGGTCATGATAGGGGCCAGTGTTGTGCTGATGTTGCTGATCACCTTGCAACAGTGACATTTGACGGTTAATAGTAGCAGTTACATGGCAGTAGACCGGTTGTCGGGTGAATTGTCGCCGCGCCGAATTGGTCTTAGGATGGCGTGGGTTGGAATGAAATGGGGGTTTGGAAGGTGGGGCTTAGCTTCCAACCTAGAGTGTGATCGGAGGTGTCGGAGGAAAGGATGGTAAAGGAGAGTTGTGATAGTGTGACGATGATGTGGTGAGATGTCAAGTCAGAACTAAGTTAGTTCAGGCAGAGGCCGGCGAGTTGAACATAGGAGTATTCTCCGAGTGGTTGGTGTTGAGATCTCCGTTAGTTGGTCGGTTCGCCCAGGTTTGGCTTCGCCCATCTTCAGAGCCGGCGCCAGAACGTGCGAAGCGTGTGCGCCAGAAGGGCTCCAGAACCATCGGATCAAGCTTCACCGACTAAAAACAAATATGTCGCCGCCACGAGCGAGCGCATTAAGTCGCTGATGAGTCCGTGCCAAATGGCACTTGTTCAGCCACCCCTTATGTGTGGATCATGTCGTTGGCCTTTCGGATCTTTCTCCAGCATTCGGCATCATGACGCCTAGGTGAACCGTCTCTCTCGGCTCGACATGTCCATTCTACGGCACTTCCGCCATGGCCGCACGCGTCGGATCTCGCCCCAATGTGCGCTTGTTACCGGAAATAGAAATTATCAATGACCTGTTTAGTGTTAGCGGAAATCTGTTCCGGACGTCAGAGATCGCTTTCTTTGCGCAGGCATTCGCGTGCTGTTCGGCCGACATGATTTTGGTAGATGATCTTCGTCGGATGGCGGTCAAGTGAGTTAGTGCCGTGCCGGTTCGTGAGCTTTGCTCTTTACAGTGGAAGGACTCGAGTCATTTGCTACTGGCTTTGCGATTGCCAGATCAGCTTTCTCTCATGGTCAATGGAGGAACCGCATTGGCGGGAAGAATCATGCGATGTTTACGTTTTGTTGGCAGATGAGTGAACAGTCTAGCATTTTACTGTGGGCTCGAGACGAGACGAGGTCTCGGCATTATGACACCGCAACTCCCTCCGGAGGCCGTGGACCACGGCACCAAATAGATAGCCTGTGCACGCGACTGCCAGTCGAAAAAACGTGTAGGGCGCGATGGAGACAGCGGAGCCCAAAAAGATCCAAGGGAGCGGAGCCGTTTGCACCTCAGGAACGGCGGAAATTTGTTGTGGGTCATTCTTTTCCCATTGCACGTTTCTTGGAAGTGTGGTTCTACTCGCCTCCCCTGGTCTTTCGTGCCTTCGCTAGTGAAACCAGGGACGCGGCTAAGGCCTGCCGGGCTCCCTAGATGCATCTGCCATCTGGGATGTCAAGCACCAAAGCTTTTGCGAAGTCCAGTAGCACGTGAGTCGCACAGCGATGCTTTCGGGCAGACCATGGATCAGGCTTGGACATCCAAGTACCGAGATGCCGAGGAGATGGTCTTGACAGTTTCGACTATGAAGGCTCTGGTGTGAGCTATTAGCTAAGACGTGACACACTGCTGGAACTGTCGGTGAGCCACATTGGGAGTCGAAAGCCGAAGGCAACATGTTGACAAGCAAGTGTTGCGATGCAAGTAATGCGACAGAAGCAGACAAGCGGAGGACATGCCAGAAGGCCACATTGATTCGTTTGAACCGCTTGCACCTTCCTCATTACGTCCGTCGCTTGCATGGATCCGGATCCTGTGGCTGCAATCCTTCGTTCACATTCGACCTGAAGGGCCATCTGATTACAATCGCAACTAAAAGAACCTGCATGGTAGGTAGCCTCGGGATCTCGAGATCAGCCTTAAATCGCCAACGTTGACCGGTTCTCGCTATTGGTAGGCTGCCAAGCCGGGGTATTCTGTGGCGGTGCAAAGTCAGTGACCTCTCGCAATCGAACACCAAAGAAGAATGGCTCAGCTGTCGCTGCTTTGACCAGTGTGATGCGCGTACGCGTGGCTGGATTGGCCAGCAAAACCTTAACCCGCTACCCGCGAAAAGCGATCCAGCGGACTGGAATGACATCAAGCTCGTTCCTCCCTGTAGGTCATACCTTAGCGCACGTTGTGTCTCGATCCCAAACCCTTTCCGTCCGGGTTACCCAGCCCAGAAAAGTGCGCATTTTGACCTGGCAGCAACGGAGGAACTCGAGTGCTGCAACGGTAATCCATCGTCGGCAATATGCTTGTACGTAAACCCGTGCTGCCGGGTTGGTAATGGGAAGCGATGGTGGGGTAGCGACTTGTGATTGGTTGAACAAAGCTAAAATTGGTAGCTGACCTGTCCATCCTTCAAGCGAGCATGCAGGGCAGACCCTGGCCATCACATGGAGGAACTAGGACTAGGGCTGAGAAACTAGGACGATACTGGATAACCTTAATTCTTCTGTGCATGCTATCTGCTGGTGCCTAAGTATCCTTGCGCTGTAGTCGGGGAAGTGCGGAGTCCTCTCAATCAGGAAACCCTCTCTCAGAAAGTAGTACTCGTCGCCGTAGCTCCCCGCCTAATGCAGTTTCTTTCCTTGTCTCATTGCCGATGTTCATGTGGCGTCTGTGAAAGCCTGACGAGCCTTCTCCACGCACGCCGGGCACCAGTCCCGCAGCTCGATGTGCCGTTTCCTACATTGTACCCAACTCCGGTCCAACTACGGCTGACACAACAGGGGAGCATGTGCCTGTTGCATCGTAGTGCGAAACATGTCCACTTGCTGTTCCGTCCACCTTGCGTCTCTCCGGATATTGCGCCGAAGCGCCGGAGCAACCAGTCCATGAACGGCTTACGGCGGAAGCCACAACACCTTGCCAGTGGTGGCATGTCATAGGTCCGACTCTGGCTGGTGATGGGCAGAGATCAATCGATCGGAAATTGTTCATCTCACGCAACGGTGGAGACGACGAGGACGGGCCGGGCGGATGTGATAATTCGTTGCGTCGGCATGGTTCCTTGAATTTCCGTCGAGACGATGCTCTCTCAGGCGTGACTGTACTGGCTCGGTACGTACCCCGCAGTGGTCGCCTGGCCTTGAGCGTTTCCAGCATCAGGCATAGGACTATGATGATGAGGTTGAGAAGCGACAATCTGCATCGGACTAGTCATTTGGTTCCTGGGGGATCGTTCAGCGCGCGCTCGTTCACGTCCAGATAGGTGTAGCCACGAACCCGCTGGGATAACCAGATTGCATTCCAAATGCGAATGCATGTTCTTGTGGGGCCGAATAAGGCGGTAGCAGTGCTGCAGGCGACCCCAGCGGAGACGCGTAGCTACTCGAGGATGCATAGCTGCTAGCTGTGCCGTACGCGTCGACAGTACCAGATCGGGGGACTTCAAGGTACGGTGACGTTGGTGCAGAAGTCATGCCAGAGGGAAGGAATGTAAGTGGTGAAGGAGCAAAGGCAGGGGAGAGGCTTTGGCCGTAGCTGTACTGCGCGATATGGTTCTCCAGATCCAGATTGATGCTCTCCAGTGCGTATGCAGATTGCTGCTGCATCGGAGAGATGGACGACATTTGCTGCCGTGACCATTCCCGCCTAGTCTTGTACGAAGAAACCATATCAATTGGGAACTGCACTAGATACGACATGGTCTGCAGCCGTGAATCGTATCGTGGGTCTTGGAAACCTTGAACCAGATTGTTGATCTCTTCCAATGGACGAAGGGAAAGATCCGCGACAAAGACTGACGCAACATCCGGGAACATCGGCTCCAAGGCTAGTGCGGTAGCGTAAAAGTGCGCGAGAACTACCAGGACATTGACGTCCCCCCGTTTGGCCGCGAGAAGTGAAATGGGAACCCAGAATAGCCACTTCCGTAATGCGTACAGCTGGTTGAATTGTTCCTCGGGGCTTTGCGGCTGGCTGGAAGATCTCAGGCGGTCGAGATAGCCCTTTAGCTGATCGACCCATTTCGATTCCTGTTCGTTACGGACGAGGTAGGGCTGCAATCGTTGCAAGGAGGCGTGAATATCGACCAGGGCGTTCATGTGCTCTCTTCGTGCTTCAGGAGATATTGGAGTACTGATGGGGTTCATGAAATGTCGGTTTGGCATAGGAGTGTGCTCGGCAATGTAGTCAGCGAATAGAGACTCATGCCTCCAGGGCTGCATAGATTGGATGACGGTCTTCGTGCCTGTGACCAGAG